GACAGGTGTTTCCTTATGACTATTTCTGTTTCCACCACGATTTCCTTGTTGCTGTTTTTTTAGTTTCCACCACCTTTCTTAACTTCCCTATGATATGGTTGGGATGCTTCTGGAGCGGTTGCCCTGCTTCATTCCCTGAATTTCTCCCACTGCTGCTTCCTTTACATTAAGGAAGGCAAAAGGAATCCCTTTTTTGAATGGTAGCACAAGGAGCCCCCTGTCTGGAAGCACCCTGGGAAACAGGGAGAACTACAACATGTTTAAATGCAGTCTGATTCTGAAGACCAACTCAAGTTCTGAAGAAAAGGAGGAAAAGCACCAATCTAAGAACAAGATCAGTACCATGATTTTGGCTAGTGGATCTGGAGTGGCCCCTGAGAATTTGCCAGAGAATAACAAACTCACATGTTACCGTCTGTCTCTGCCAAGACTTACCACCTCCTCTCTTCTATATGAGGCATCTTTGTGCATGTGTGTGTATGGGAGAGAATGGGACAGAATGCATCAAAGAGAACAGATTTTGCTCACATTATGAAATTTAGGAATCCCTGTTCATTATGTATGTGAGTTAAAAAGTAACAGTTAAATAATACATTAATTTCAATAATAATAGCATTTAATTAATCAAATTTTAATTTCCTTAGTTCTTTTTAAAATCTTTTTATGAGATTTTACCTCCATCTTTTGCAGGGCAGCTTCTACTGTAACCTTTTTATGTCCCATTCCTGAGTGAGAGTGACATATATTTAGGGTATGTTTCTTACACATTACTTTAGGGTTTAAGAAGCTACTCAAGGATTCATGGTTCATAACAGTGTAAGAAATAAGATATAAGTAGGTTTGTTGTTTTTACAGAAACTTAAGAGATAAATGAATATGGAGAATTGTTTATGGCATAATAGTTATGGCTTTGGACAGGCAGAAACAAGGAAACCTAATCTTACATTCAAGAAAAATTGGGAAAAACAGAAAAAGGGAGGAAGGTAAATGGCTGCAACAGGATGCAGCTAGCTTAACCACAAACTAGAACTACCAAATATGGACAATTGTCAGTAGGGGTAAGGGGGCTTTGGAGTAGAGTAATGGGA